TCAGAGTTGTAGGGTTCAACAAGTGTTCAAGGCCTGGGGGGATTTCCGGGGAAACCCCGGGATTCCCTGGGCGTGTCGCGCGCGTCCTCCAGTAGCGCGGCCGGCCAAACATGAGCCCCCAAAGCGCCCAAAGTGGCCGAAGCTGCCTCCGAGACCGCCCAAGAATGCACACTGCAATACGCCCAAGATGGCCTCAACACGACCCAAGCCCCCGAAGACGTCCCAAGAGTGGTCCAAGAGGCGACCCAAGGGGACCCCAAGAGGCAAACATCCGTGTTCATCCTTGGGTTTCTGAAGCATTGCTGGCCTCCTCGCCTTTTCGGCGTTCCGACGCTCCAAGAAGGCTCACGAGGCCCCCAAGAGGCAAACATCCGTGTTTTTCCTTGGGTTTCTGAAGCGTTGTCGGCCTCCTCGCCTGTTCGGCTCTCCGACGCTCCAGGAAGGCCCACGAGGCCCCCAAGAGGCAAACATCCGTGTTTTTCCCTGGGTTTCTGAAGCGCTGTCGGCCTCCTCGCCTGTTCGGCCCTCCGACGCTCCAGGACGGCTCACGAGGCCCCCCAAGATCGCTCCAGCTCGGCCGCAGGGCCCCCCAAGAGGGCCCCCAAGACGGCCCCCAAGACGGACCCAGGGCGGCCGAAGGGGCGCACGGGACGGCCCGAGAGGGCCCAAAGACGGCGCCGAGAGGGGGCCCAGATGGGGAACCCGAGCGGACATGCGAGCGCTCGGCCCCGAGGGGTCCCCAGGAGGCCCCAGGAGGACCCCAAGAGGCCCCCAAGAGGCCCCAAACGGCCCCCAAGAGGCCCCAAGAGGCATCCAAAAGGTCCCCAAGAGGCCCCCAAGAGGCTCCCAAGAGGCCCCCAAGAGGCTCCCAAGAGGCCCCCGAGAGCGCCGCGAAGAGACGTGAAGACGAACACCTGAGAACTCTGACCCACAACCCAAGCACGGTGGCGGGATGGGCTGAAGGCCATTCGATACAACCCTCTGCACCAAAGAAACCAACAATGTAGATCCAAGTCGTGGGGTGAAGCTTGCGAGGTACCAGCGGTTTGAGAGTCCGTGTGCTCACAGCCAACCTCGAGCGAGCCACCTGACAAGTTGGCAAGTCAGCGGCTGCCAGCTCAAGCTGGCCATATTTGTACAGCGGCGCCGTTGACAGTCTCAACGCATCAATGCGCAGTGCGGCACCACCTGTCTATATTCAGAGAGAGAGAGAGAGAGAAATGTTCCATGCTAACGTCGGTTGGCAATGGCCCCTGGTTGGCCTTGAACTACATATAGCCCCGCCGAACTGCTGCAAGGAATTGAGAAAACACTGCCCTATGATGTTCAGCTTGATCAAGACACGCCCAACCTAATGACCACTTGAACTCACGCACCCATCACCACCAAAGGAGCCAGCACATCAATCAAAGGTATCGTGTGAAGGCTCGCACAAGGGGCCAAATATACGTGCCAGAACGAAGCGGCACTGCAAACCGCCGTTCCCCTGCTACAGAATCAGGTGGTGATGGAATCACGGGTCGATTTTAAAAAAATAATGCGCTGGCAACGTCGCCCTATCCGATCGGACGATGCCCAACGCCCAGAAGCAGAACCGTGAGGGGAGATGCGACTGCGAATGGCATTCAAACATCAGGAAACGCGTGGGCACCCCCGCTGCAGCTTGGGATGGTGGGCATGGGGAGCATTATTTTCAAAGCTTTCGCCTCAGCACGGACGCCCATATTTGCTATGTAAACGGGCTCGAGACTATTCAGCCAAGGGCTACGGAACCCAGCCAGGTTTATGCCACATGCGAAATGACTCTGCTGAAATTGACGCAAGTCTGGCAAGTCGGCAACAGGCTAGCTATCCTACTCAGCGATAGCTCGCAGCAAGCTTCGCCGACGCATGGGCCCTTGGCGTTGCCTCTTAGCGCCGATGAAAAACAAACCGTCGACGGTCCCAAGGTGCTCGTCACAGTCGTCGTTTTTTGTGGGGGGGATACGAGCGGGCAGCAAAGGTTCACGCAACTAGCCTCGCCAAACGCGCCGTCGACAAAGCATGCCCCCCGCAAGCTTGTCCTGCGAACGTGGCCGATGTATGGCAACGGAAACAGGCAAGCTGACCAGGCAAGAGCAAGCTTCGCCGGGGACGGGCCCCAAATCGAGGATGGGTCGATGCACCCAAAACTGACGAGACGGCCCTCAACGGCGGCAGCACGAAATGAACATGTCACGAATTACAGCCCGCAGATGCGGAAGGAGGAAGAGGACGAGCGAGAAGACGCAAGAGGAGGAGGGAGGGCAAACGAGGCACTGTGGTCATCGCCCGACTGCCTGTCAGTCTGGGTGCCCGCATGACCTGGTTGTGCGACCGCGGACAATTCACACAAAGAGCTCGTCACTATAGTCGCGTCGGGCCGACTCGGGGGGCCGTCGGGTAAGCTACTGAAGGGGCGTGGCCTCACCGTCACGCGCTGACACATCTTGCGTTTAAAGGCAAGTGAGTGCCTGTGGTTTGCGATTTCTGATCACCAAAAGACCCCCCGAACAAGAAAATCGAAGCAAGCGGCGGGGCGGTCTTTGTGAGCACGCACCTCGAAAATAGACGGCGCTCTTCGTTAACTGCCTTTGGCGCACGTCCAGGCAGCGCAGGAGGGGCCACAGTCAAGAAGGACTTACGGGAGATTGGGCCTCCTCCAATTCAAACAAAGCATGCGATATCTTACTTAAGCCGAATGCTCCGCTCCCATTGCAATCTCGCATCTGCACTGTCGTACCAGAAAACATCGCATGCTAGAGGCAAGCGACGATTGAAGACATCGGCCGTACATCTGAAAGCCCCAGTGCGACTGAGTGAACGTATAATCTCGGCGGCCCTATGCCGGAATTACGAGGATACAACCGTACCCTATGCTCTCTTAGAACGGTCATGCGACTGGCAGCCACGTTTTCTGTATATTTTATGGTTTCTCTAAACTAGCGGTGCGCTTGCAAATAGACGGCTATCCATCTCAAGCTCTACACCGCGGCCCCTGGCAACGCTGCCTGTAGAAACGTGAATGAGAAAGTCTGAATTCCGACTTGCAACACTGATGCCACCACAGACCGAACAGATCGTGGAGAAAACATCGCATGCCGCATACAGGCGTTTCTCTCTACTTCCGCAATCTGAGCGTCGGCCTCTGCAAACATCCCGTGCAGCTCGGCATCTCCCCTCCCGTGTCTTGCCCCCATTACCCCTCCCCGCGGACCAGCCATGACAGAGAAAGAACAGATCACGGAGAGGGCAAGGTGGCCCAGGACGCCCCCCGCCCACAGGAAACAGGGGGGGAGAGACCGCAGAAGCCCCGCACACCAGGAGGCTCGAGGTCGAGGCCCGACGCTCGAAGGAGGGCCGGCGGAGCCGACCAACGGCCTTCCCGCCCGGCCCGGATCCCTTCAAGATCAGCCCCAGGGCTCCTCCTGGGTTCCAGCCTGCTCTGGGAGGCTCGGAAGTGGGCACCGACACCAAAACGGGGGGCCGCGTCCACCCGGGGAGGATGGTCCCAGCCTTCGGCGTTGGTGGTGCTCTGTCGGCCTCGTAGAACAGCCCGGATATTTTTTCCCGAGCCCCAGCGTACCGGTGGTAGCGAGCGGAAGATGACAATCGACGACATCACGCCCAGCAGTGCCACTAAATCTACAACCACTCTTGAACCGCGTGCGATTGAGATCTGCATTGAAATCTAGACAGCCCGAATACTACCACCATCACTCGGATCGGGATGATCTTGCCTGGGTGGAGGTACTCCGCCGATATCGGTGTTGGTGCCAACCTCTCGGCCTCCGATGCTCTGGTTTTGTTGAGGCAGGCCTGGCCAGGGCGACGAGGAACCTCCGCAGGCGGGCCAGCAAGGAGCGAGACACGCCGAGCAGGACCGCATCGATGATCGACTGGCCCCCTCCTCCTCCTCCTCCTCCTCCTCCTCCTCCTCCTTCCTCCTCCTCCTCCTCCTCCTCCTCCTCCTCCTCCTCCTCCTCCTCCTCCTCCTCCTCCTCCTCCTCCTCCTCCTCCTCCTCCTCCTCCTCCTCCTCCTCCTCCTCCTCCTCCTCCTCCTCCTCCTCCTCCTCCATCCTCCTCCTCCTCTCCTCCTCCTCCTCCTCCTCCTCCTCCTCCTCCTCCTCCTCCTCCTCCTCCTCCTCCTCCTCCTCCTCCTCCTCCTCCTCCCTCCTCCTCCTCCTCCTCCTCCTCCATCCTCCTCCTCCTCCTCCTCCTCCTCCTCCTCCTCTCCTCCCCTCCTCTCCTCCTCCTCTCTCCTCCTCCTCCTCCTCTCCTCCTCCTCCTCCTCCTCCTCCTCCTCCTCCTCCTCCTCCTCCTCCTCCTCCCCCTCCCCTCCTCCCCTCCTCCTCCTCCTCCTCCTCCTCCTCCTCCTCCTCCTCCTCCTCCTCCTCCTCCTCCTCCTCCTCCTCCTATTCTAACGTCATGATATTTTCACAACGTTGTTTCCCTGGGACATGCTTTCCATCCCGAGTCGTTTTTTGACGATCCTGGGGCCCAGAAAGGGTTGGCGGCGCGCGAAAATGGCGGTACAAGGGGGGGGGAGGCTTCTTCGAAAGGCTGCTTCTTATAATGCGCAGACCTTTTCTGTAGATTTCAAGCCCGCACCTTCTCTAAGAAGCAGCCTCCTTCTAGGAAGCCTGCCCCCATCCCCCTATACCCCCGCTGCGCGCCGCCAAAAATGGCCCCCGGTAGCCAAACATAGCCCCAAACCCTCCGTCGTGATTCTTCCACGACGCGAGTAGAGGCCTCCTAGATGGGGTCGGAGTAGAGGGGGGCGACGGATCACGCCGCATCGGCGATGCATCGGCGATGCACCAGCGACGCATCGTCGATGTTGGCGGTGCATCGGCGACGTCGACGTGAAGCACATCGGGCCCCACATCGAGCCGCATCGGCGACGCATCGGCGATGCGGCGCGATCCTCCGACCCCATCTGCGAGGCCTAGAGCGAGGGGGTCTGGGGACTCTCCCCGGGCCTGCGACTCGAAGGCGGCGGCGGCGCCGCGCGCGGGAGCGGCGGCCGGGAAAAGCGCGCGCGGCCAGCCCAGAGGGAGAGGGGGGCCGCCGAGCTCTGCGGGAGAGGGCGCGCGCGGCCGCGGGGCGCAGCCAGGGTAGCGAGCACCCTGCTGTTCCTCCTCCTCCTCCTCCTCCTCCTCCTCCTCCTCCTCCTCCTCCTCCTCCTCTTCGCTCACTCACTCACTCACTCACTCACTCACTCACTCACCTAATCATGGCAGTTGAAGGGTACCCCCGTGGCCATACACGCCTTTCCTGCCCCCTCCCCACATTGGGAGAGGGGGGGCACATTAGGGAAAGGGTGAGACAAAGGGTAGATCAGCAGGACGAGCACAAAGGAGAGGAGGTAGAGGAGGGCATCATGAGGTAGACGAAAGCAACAAAGGAGGCGAGAAAGAAAGACGGTCGCTTACCTCCTCCTCCGTCTCCTCCTCCTCCTCCTCCTCCTCCTCCTCCTCTTCCGCCTCCGCCTCCGCGTCCGCCTCCGCCTCCGCCTCCGCCTCCGCCTCCGCCTCCGCCTCCGCCTCCGCCTCCGCCTCCGCCTCCGCCTCCGCCTCCGCCTCCGCCTCCGCCTCCGCATCCGCC